TTTGACTACGCCAGGGCGTAGGATCGATTTTACTGTCACGTGATCCCGATCCGATGATCCGATGATCGACCTGCTACGTCGCACATGTATTTTGTACTACAAAATTTCACTGTCATATTACTGTATTATATTGAGTCCTTTATCAAAGAAAGCGATGCTATATATCTGTAACAAAAATTTAAAAATATAAAAATACTTTATCATATATACATTATAATAAATTTTTTTTTGCATTGAAAAGTAAAATTGATTAAATTTCACTTTAAAATATAATCAACTAAAACTAATTTTTGAAACAGTATAACTAACTAATTCAAGTAATTCATATCATAATCAGGTTTAAGATATAAAATAATACAAATCAAACATCTATAATATTCGCATTTTGCTAATTTTAGTCCGTGTTTAATTAATAAATCACATTCGAATTTAACTGCTAAATAATCACTCGCAATTAAGTATCTCAGGTTGGATATTTAAATAAATTAAATAATTGTATAAACATTCATATATATAAATAAATTAATGAATACAGTAAAATATTAATGTTTAAAAAAGCAATTAGCATAACATAGTAAAAAAGAGATTACTGTAGATTTAAATTTTTATTTAATTAATCAATTAAATATTTATTACAAAATTGCTGAAAAAGAATTAATTAGTATACATCAGAAAATTCTGAAACCTGATTGTAATCAATTAAAATCAAACAATTATAATCGATGTATATATAATTTAATCGATTTTATATATTATGATTATAATCAATTTTTATTTAAATCGATCACTATAATTTCATCGATAATAATTATTTAAAACAACTGATTATAATCAGGTTTTAAATTTTTCTAATATAACCAAATGTTTCATAATTATTTTGGGCTTTCCAGTTCAATATTCGAATAACCAAATCACCTATCTCATGCATATATTAGTTCAAATATCTTTGATCCAAATATTCATTTCATCATTCATACGAATTTAGCATCTCCAATTTATATCTACGAATTAATCAAATAAATCACCAAATAATATAATTAAACTAAAGATCTAAAAAGTATTTAAACCGTTACCTTATTGCTACCAAAAAGTTTTTAGATCTCTTCAATACTTATAATAAAATCGCTAGCGATTATTGTTGATATTATAATTAAAAATAATCAGTAATAAAATTATCCTTTTGTCTATAAATTAATTGAGAATTAATAAAATAAATACTTTCCCTAATGCCAACGTGTAGCACTTGCGGATCTATTCGTTCCTCTGAAGAATTTATACTTAATAGTAGCAACTACAAAACTTGTAATAAATGTAGATTTGCAAGATCTAAAAAAAAAAGTGAATCAGCCAGTAGCTCCAATATTGAAAACAATTCCATTGAAATAATTCCTATACAGGAAGTTAGTCACTCCAATATTGAAAACAATTCCATCGAAATAATTCCTATACAAGAAGTTAGTAGCTCCAATATTAAAAATAATTTCATTGAGATAATTCCTATACAAGAAGTTAGTCAATATATTATAAATACAATTGATGACTTAGAAGACTATGCTGAACTTTCTCTTGTCCTTCGTATTCAGCTTGATGAATCCATGATAAGTGATACTGATATAAATGTCAAAACCATAGCGAAATTAATAATTGATGAAATAGAAGAGGGAGATGGTTATAACTGGACGTATGTAATAAATAAATATATACTTATCTTATATTGTTTAATTATAGTTGCCATCCAAATTACAATTTTTAAAAAAAAATTAAGATTGTTTTCTAAAATTATTATAACATATAACATGTATTTAATTATATACTAATTACCTGTAAATATAGAGCCACGACTGCATCTAACCTTTCAGCTCGTCATCATAACGTCAGAAATGCTTACTTTGCTTGCTCCCAAAGTTCAGAGCTTGAACGTGAACTTAAAGATTCAAATCAAAAAAGAACCATTCGTTATAATTGTGGTGGCAAAGTATCAATTAAAATTGATATACCAGCGGCAGAAGCAAAGATAACATTAAAGCATAAAATTTTGCATAATAAACCTATTGAGGTTGAAACGCCATCTGAAGTAAAACAAGAAATTAATAAGCACTTACACTTGAATCCTGTCGAATTAAGACAACATCTTCGAAAAAAATTTAATATATCCAATGTCACATCTAAGCAAATTCATTACTGGTGGTCCTATTTTACACAGCAATTCTATAAAAGTGACGAAAATCATATTGTGTTAGCACATATGTTTTTTACCAAACAAATTAATAATCATTGTACTCTATGTTTTCATCTTGATATGAGTAATACAACATTTATCGGTTTCACGACATGCCTACTTGATAAATCCGATTACATAGAAATACACTGTGATGCCACGTATAAAACCTCCAAAGGGCGATTCGAGCTTTATGGAGTTGTTGGTAATGTTCAAGGTGTAGGTTTTGCATTAGCATACCTTATTTTAGATACGACAAAGGCTTCTAAAAATGAAAGCCAAGATGGATTACGAACTGAAGCACTTACAGGGTTTTTTCTTACTCTTCGTAATAAGGGTCTAAATCCAACTTTCTTTTACTCTGATAAAGATTTCGCCGAAATAACAGCTGCTAAAAATGTATGGCCCTTAATTGATATACAACTTTGCCTATGGCATCTAGAAAAAGCGATCAAAAATAAGCTTAAAAGTCGTAAAAAAATCGAACATATAATTATAATTATGAAGAGGTTATAAAAGAATTTACCTTCGTCGATTCTTCTTTTATTCCAGACCTACAACATACAGATTATGAGTATAATATTGTTTGCCCCCCTGAGCTTCATATTACAGTTGTTGAAATAATTAAAAACCATGCGAATATGCATTCTAAGATTCCTATTAATTATCATGGACAATTTTTATCCCCTACAGAAATAAGAACAAAAGCAGTTTCTGAGATATATAAATTTTGTTTCACAAACAATCTTGTAATATTATGGACCTATTTATGGTCCTCCTGGTACAAACCTACAAGATGGTGCCTTTGGGCACGTTCTACCCGAACAACCATACCACTTGGCAAAACTAACAATATGATCGAAGCGCATTGGATGGTTCTAAAACACCATTATCTTTCACACCTTAACCGTCCATGGCTTGATTATCTAATCTGGGTTATTTCTTCACATGTTATACCTGACCAGTTTGATCAATTTCAGCAATTAGCAACTGGTAGAATAGAACCAGCGTGGTTTGATGAATTTAAAAGACAATGGAGAAATCTTCTTACCAAATTACCAAATCATAATAATTCATATTTTATTGATTTAGACCACTGGATTTGCAGTTGCCCATCGTTTCTTAACAATCGCTTTCTCATCTGTAAGCATTTAGTTCATAAAGTGTCAGAAAGTACAAATAATTCTGAGGGGATCAGATTGATATATTCTAATTTTAAACGACAATCTGATTATCCCTTTTTGATATGGAATGGAAGTATAATACAAAACGTATCTGAAAATATAGAAACTATTAGAACGTATGATCAGATTAATACTATAGATCACTATAATATGGATGAAGATAATGAAATCCTTACTAACAAATGCCAGATTCTTGAGTCTAAAGCAGTGGCATTGCAACGTTTAGTTGATCACATTAATGTAGAACTAATAGCAAATAACTTACAACATGTAGAATCTATTGTAAATAATTTAAACCATGCTTTTGCTATTCTCTCAGATATAAAAAAAGCAAAAAGCCATAGAAAATGACGTACAACATGGAGTGATTCCAAATCTTGGACCTTATTTTTAAGCAACGACGAAACTTAATATAATATAAAAGATTATTATTGTATTTTGAGTAACTTCGAAATTAATTAAAAGCAAGGATTTTGTCTTAAAAAAAAAAAATACTTAGCAAAAACTTTAGCAAAACTTGTTAAAATTACAAAAAAATAGTTTTTAAACCCAAAAAAAGTAAAATATTTCCGTTGTAGAATCTATCAAATAGAAAATAGAACACTAAAAAATTTTCAATGTAAAATATTTGGTTTACGATAATATTTCAAAGTTCATAGTTCATTATTGACGATGCGAACTGTATTTTTGTTAAATGATAAAATTTGTAATACAAAATGCATGTGCGACGTAGCAGGTCGATCATCGGATCATCGGATCAGAGATCACATGACAGTAAAATCAATCCTACGCCCTGGCGTAGTCACTATATTTGGCCCAATATTAGGACCAAGTGTTAATTTTTTTTCTGGCCTGACCAACCGGTGGGCAGGTTCCTGTGCATGAATGAAGTTAATCTGGTTCTTCACATGGGCAGGAATATGTGTATATTTTCTGTGTGTGGTTAATATTTTTGGAGTTCGAGTCTGGACTGGAGTCTTCTAGGTCTAAGGTAGTAGTATACCGAGTAGCATTAGATTTATTATAAGGATAAGATAAGTGTTGTTGTTTTTTTTAGTTGGCAAAGTTAGAGCAATATGGTTTCCATAACTGTTCGTACAGTTGTTCATTAATCTTAAGCAGTAGATTAATAATAATGTTGGATGCTATTTTGTAAGAAATATTATAGTTTTGCAACGTTTGGATTAGAGATAGCAGAATTAAACCTTTAAGAGTAGGCTCAATATAATATGAGT